TTTTCCTAACCAATCCTCTCTTTGTCCTCCGGATTCCACTTCTCTTTTCCTCTGTTTCTATTTTAATCACTCCTCCTTCTTTTTCTTATCCTCTCCTTTTTTTTTTTCTTATCTCTTGTTCTCTACCCTCTTCTCTCATTCTCCTCTTCTCTCCTCTGTTCTCTCTCTCTCACCTCTTCCCTATTGTGCTCTCCTCTCCCCACTTCTTGTTTGTCTTCTCCTCTATTCTCCTCTAGTATATCTTTCTTTCTCTTCTCCAACTCTACATTCTCCCCAACTCTCTTCTTCCTTCCTTTCTTCTTCCTTCCTTCCTTCCTTCCTTCCTTCCTTCTCCTTCCCTCTCTTCTTGTTTTTTTTCCTCTACACTATTCTCCTCTATGCTCCATTTCCCTCTCCTCTTCATTTTTCTTCTGTCCCCTCCATTTTCCTTCATTTCCACTCCTGTGTTCTCCTCTCTTCTCCCATTTTTCTTCTGTCCCCTCCATTTTCCTCTCATTTCCACTCCTCTGTTCTTCTCTCCTTTCTTCTCCTTCCCTTATCATAGCAATTACTATCCCAACATTGCACCCACTGATTGATATAGCTTAATATACAGTACCTTCTCTACCCTTTCCTCCCTTCTCCTCTCCTCTTTTTCCCTTCTCATCTTTTCTCTCCACTCCTCTGCTCTCCTCTCCTCCCAGAAGTACCTCAAGTTGTCATAGCAATTTCCATAGAGGTGACTTTTACAACATGTAACTCTCATTACATTCTCCTTGCTAGTGTGCTTAGTCATCTTTTTTTGCAAAGCTTTCTTTTTTCATTAATTTTTTTTACCAAAATAAAATCATGCAATATTAATCACTTAACATATTCCTATATGCAATTCAAGATGCTCAAATCCTTTCTTTTTTAAAACACACACACTAAGTGTTTGTATTTTCTATACTTATGTATAATATATAGAACAGATAGAAACAAAAAAAAGATAATTCAAATGTAAGAAAATATGGAGTTTATAAACAGATAAGTAATAGATTGTAAGCTCCAAAGAGCCCTCCTAACCCTCTTGTATTGAACTGTATTGTTGCTGTATTGTCTCCCTTTATATTGTAAAGCGCTGAGCAAACTGTTGGCACTATATAAATCCTGTATAATAATAATAATAATGGCATTAAAAAAAAAAAGTTACATAATTATCAGTTTTTTTTTTCGGCACATGTATGATCAATTTGCATTCATACTGTATACTCTATATGTGATTATTTTTTAGCACCTCTTTTCGTATTATCTTTTTTTTTCAATAGCACCATCATGGATGGATGTTTGATGAATAGCTCTTTAAAATGAAGTGTAAAAACATAAGCCCTTCATTTAAAGTAGAGTGGTCCTATAGTGATCCTTCAATAATTGAGGTTTGTGCTGCTCTGCGGTAATTTGCCATGACACAAACAGCCACCTTTACGAACATTGAAAAATAATCTTCAAGGTCAAACAACACTGTCACATTTGTCAAACACAATTTCCCCTTACATACAGTATATCTTGCTCATCTGGAGTCTAGTTTTTTTATGGATATAGTACTGTTAACCTGACCATACAAGTTACAATCTGATTGTACAATCTCCTTTAAATTCCTATAAACTATGCAGTGAGGTATGCCTGTCTAGATATAAATTCAAGGGATTGTATCAAGGGAACCCATATGGAAGAAAAATATATTTGAAATATATTTTAAAAAATATTCTTCCTAAATATATTGCATTTAATTGCTAAAAATTTTGGCCTTGTTCAATATATTTTAAAAAAAATACAGGTGAAACTCAAAAAATTAGAATATCATGCAAAAGTTCATTTATTTCAGTAATGCAACTTAAAAGGTGAAACTAATATATGAGATAGACTCATTACATGCAAAGCAAGATAGTTCAAGCCGTGATTTGTCATCATTGTGATGATTATGGCTTACAGCTCATGAAAACCCCAAATCCACAATCTCAGAAAATTAGAATATTACATGCAATCAATAAAACAAGGATTGTACATAGAACAATATCGGACCTCTGAAAAGTATAAGCATGCATATGTACTCAGTACTTGGTTTGGGCCCTTTTTGCAGCAATTACTGCCTCAATGCGGCGTAGCATGGAAACTATCAGCCTGTGGCACTGCTGAGGTGTTATGGAAGACCAGGATGCTTCAATAGCGGCCTTCAGCTCTTCTGCATTGTTCGGTCTCATGTCTCTCATCTTTCTCTTGGCAATGCCCCATAGATTCTCTATGGGGTTCAGGTCAGGCGAGTTTGCTGGCCAATCAAGCACAGTAATTCCACGGTCATTGAACCAGGTTTTGGTGCTTTTGGCAGTGTGGGCAGGTGACAAGTCCTGCTGGAAAATGAAGTCAGCATCCCCATAAAGCTCGTCTGCGGAAGGAAGCATGAAGTGCTCCAAAATCTCCTGGTAGATGGTTGCGTTGACCCTGGACTTAATGAAGCACAGTGGACCAACACCAGCAGATGACATGGCTCCCCAAATCAACACAGACTATGGAAACTTCACACTGGACTTCAAGCATCTTGCAGTGTGTGCCTCTCCATTCTTCCTCCATACTCTGGGTCCTTGGTTTCCAAATGAGATGCAAAAGTTGCTCTCATCAGAAAAGAGGACTTTGGACCACTGAGCAACAGACCAGGTCTGTTTTTCTTTAGCCCAGGTAAGACGCTTCTGACGTTGTTTTTCAGGAGCGGCTTGACAAGAGGAATACGACATTTGAAGCCCATGTCCAGGATCCGTCTGTGTGTGGTGGCTCTTGATGCACTGACTCCAGCCTCAGTCCACTCCTTGTGAAAGTCCCCAACACTTTTGAATGGCCTTTTCCTGACAATCCTCTCCAGGCTGCGGTCATCCCTGCTGCTTGTGCACCTTTTTCTACCACACTTTTCCCTTCCACATAACTTTCTATTAATGTGCTTTGATACAGCACTTTGGGAACATCCAACTTCTTTTGCAATTACCTTTTGAAGCTTTCCCTCCTTATGGAGGGTGTCAATGATGGTTTTCTGCACAACTGTCAGGTCAGCAGTCTTTCCCATGATTGTGATTCCTACTGAACCAGACTGAGAGACCATTTAAAGGCTCAGGAACCCTTTGCAGGTGTTATGGCTTAATTAGCTGATTAGAGTGGGACACTTTGAGCCGAGAATATTGCACCTTTTCACAATATTCTAATTTTCTGAGATTGTGGATTTGGGGTTTTCATGAGCTGTAAGCCATAATCATCACAATTATGACAAATCATGGGCTTGAACTATCTTGCTTTGCATGTAATGAGTCTATCTCATATGTTAGTTTCACCTTTTAAGTTGCGTTACTGAAATAAATGAACTTTTGCATGATATTCTAATTTTTGAGTTTCACCTGTATATACTGCATGTTGAAATGCATTTTATTACAAAATATATGAAAAATATTTTTAAAAATACAATTCAAATATCCTGTATGTCTTTAAAAATACAAATCTACAATTTTGGAATGCATTTACAAATATATATAACAATATATGTTAAAATGACTTTTCTATATATTAAAAAAAATCTATTAAAATAATCTATTAAAATATATTCTTCAGATTTTTTTTAACATATAAAAAAAATCATTTTAACATATATTTTTACATTTATTTGTAAATGCATTCCAAAAATGTTTGTATTTTAAAGACATACAGGATATTTCATACATGATATTTTAAAAAAAATTTCATATATTTTGTAATAAAAACTCATTTCAACATGCAGTATATATATATATATATATATATATATATATATATATATATTGAATATGGCCAAAATTGTAGTATTTCAAATATATGGCAATATATTTGGGAAGAATATTTTTAAAATATATTTCAAATATATTTTTCTTCCATGTGGGAATATATAGTCTTTTTAAAGTTTTAGCTTAGTTTATTTTATTTAGTGTTCTTTTTTTTTCTTTTTTTGTGTGCATTGAACATTATTCATGTTTTTTCTTTTCTGTCTATTTCCTCCTGTGAAAAAGTAAAATTATTTACCTAAATTTTGGTCATGGGTAATTGAAAGGATCTTCTGCAGTTCTCCTGAGCCATTGAAATCCCATTGAATGAAAAATCACCCAAAACAGCCTTAAAGTGGCTACACCTAACCAGGGTTGCCAACCGTCAGTAAATTCATAGACAGTAACTGTCTGTAAATATCAGGGGCTGATAATTTTTTTTTTAATGCTGTGGTCAGTGTAAACCAGTCAAATTACTTGTTGTGGGTATTGTTAGTGTTTCCAAATTGTGTTTATACTGTTTTAATATTGATTGTCTTAATTTTTAATGTTATTTTTCAAGTTGTCAGTAAAAAAATGTGATCCATCAGTAAATTTTCTATGTTTTGTCACTAGAAAATGCTGCGGGAGGTTGGCAACACTGCACCTAATTGGTCTTAAAAATGTCCTCTCCCCCCTCCTAATATCTATGTTTACTATCCTGTGTAAAAAAGATCCATATAGTTACTCTCAGCCCGCTCCGGTCCGGATATGTGATCCCTGCCAGCAGCAGCTGCAGGGGAGGGGAGAGAATGCTCCACAATGGCTGGGGATGCCTGGGAGTGCTGACATCACCCATAGGCTGCTATGTCCCAGCCGTTGTGAGTGCTCCCTCCTCTTCCCTGCAGCCAGCTCTAGCTGACATAGGGGAGCCAGATTACGTGACCAGACTGGAGCAGGCTGAAAATGGGTAAGTATATATACCTTTTTTACACAGGTTAGTCAGCATTGGTGGTGGGGAGAGAGTATTTTTAAGATTCTTTAGGTTTAGCCTGGAACTCTACTTTAAGTTTGCCTTTTCTATTGATTCCAATGCATTTCACTCAAGGAAGTTAAAACTTTAAATCTCACTCACTCCTAGAGATTATATAGAGATTGTACATTTTGTATATTGTCTGTAACTACTCTAGTACAATATATATTACTATCACTTTATCTTTCTTTGTCTGCTCAGGTCTTGGAGATGCCTGGGGCCATCCTGCAAGACTTGGACCATTGGATAATGTGGCAAAGGAGCTGGGATCTCACCTACTTCAGGTATTTATTGTGCCAAGTCACTGCAGATCTGCTGCATTGTGTGCTGATTTTCAAATCTGGAGGAATAACGAGTGTTTCCCCACGGTGACCAGATTCTGAATGTCATTCTACTTCTTCAAGTTAGAATATACAATGGCTGCCCAGCATAAGGATAGTGGCAGCATGTATCAGTTCCCTCAGTTCTGCACACTAAAAAATTCTACTCCATCTTATACTTGATCTTTGGACTACAACTAAACATAGCCTCATTGGTCATGTCCACCTACAAATCTCCTTTTTGTAAGGGAACCTGAGTATCCTCGACTGCCTACAAGCTTGCAATGTCGGCATTCCCACAGCAAGCCTTATTTTAAAGCTCAACTACTGTGTGTCATCTCAGTATAGTCAGAATTCAAGTAGATATCTGCCAAATATTTCTTCCTTAGATAAACCCCGTCAGGTCTCAAAAGAACTGAGATGGGCAACTTCCTGAAAGAGAAGAGAAAGTATACTAATTTCTCTTATGGCTTTTGTCTCCTATCCGCCCTACATCCAACCTCCATCAGTATCACCTCTAAGGGTTTCAAATCCCTGTTGTATACTGTGGTCCCTTCCTTCCTGAGCCCTGTGTTGACTTAGGGACTTGAGGATGAAACCATGGTATGCAGAGGGGGACACAGGTATCGGACACTCTTGTCAGTGTCAAATACTGAAGACTCCAACAGAGGTTGCATCAGTCATCATCAATGGAACGGAGGAAAGGAAGGTAGGTGACATGAGCCACCAGAGAGGTAGAGATACTATTTTTTTTCACTTGCAGGGGAGCTGCCCTTTTCAATTTTTTAGAGACCTAGCATGGGCTCTTTCAGTAAGATCTATTTCTATAAAATCCAATGTTAACCTTACCTCCTTGGCCAACCTGGTCCTTTACAATAAATAAATGTTGGTCTAGGCTCCCAAAGTTTGCCTAGACATAGGTAAATAATTTCAGATAAAACAAATATTGTTCAAAGTTCAGGCAGAACTGTTGGTTGTCAAACTGTGTGCGAATGTCATTTGCCCTCCTTCTAAAAAGAAACTATAATGGTTTTATAAAGCCTATACCATATGCACTATTGTAATGCACAAATATTACACGAAGAACCAATGTACGGTGCATGAAAAGCTCAATTAAAAAGGCAATTCTGTCTTAATTACCTTTGTTTAAACTCAAATTAACTAATAAGCCAAATAATAAATTTCAGCCTTGCACAACTTCAACCTAATCCCCAAATTTAACCCTCAATTTAATTCCAACTGCTAATCCTTAAAGTGGACCTTTCATGAAAATTCCAGGAAGCGAGTCACCATGCCACCATGTCACCATGCCTCAACACGTCCTCTTGGAAAAGCTGGGTGCTTAAAATCCTGCAAGAGTGCACCTCTGCAAAAGGCTGGAAGGCATTCTTGTGGGATTTAAAGCGCCTAGCTATCCCATGAGGCAACAGTGACATCAATTAGGCTTCCTGGAAGAGTCCAAAGCCAAGGCCAAGGTTTTTTTTTTTCAAATGTCTCTGTAGAAGATCAGATTTTGGGGGATGGGATGCTTAGTATTGTAGACCTTCTTCTTTCATGGAGATCTGCTTTAACATTAAAGTTGAACACAACCAGGATGATGACCCCACTTTCTTTTTTAATCAATATGGTTTGGTAACTTCTCTGTCTAAAGTGAGGGACTGTACAATAAAGGAGTAGCAATCACTCACCCCTCTGCTTATACTGCTGTCTCTTTTGGTGTATTTCTTATCATACATTTGCACGCAACATACTTGATTTGCTTCTAGGGCTACCCATTATTAATGGAAATCTATAATTATACCATACACTTTCATTTTACTTTCACTTTCATTTTTTAAAATCAGCATTGTAATAACAATAGTATAATAAATAACATAATAATAACAATAATAATAACAATCAAAAATACACAATAAAATATCAGTAGTACATAAATAAATACATACATAATAAATAAATACACAAAATAAAAATAACAATAATGCACATGGGAAGGGGGGGGGGATTACTAAAACTGGTGGACTCAGAATCTGGTACAGTTGTGCATAGTAGCCAATCAGCATCTAACTTTAGCTTGTTTAACCTCCTTAGCGGTGTTCCCGAGTGTAGCTCGGGGTAAAATTTCTATACCAAAAGCAGTAACCCCGAGCTACACTCGGGCCTACCATGCGGCGTTCTCTGGGGGTCCCTGTAGCACTTACCTTGTCCTTCGCTCCCGCGATCTGTCCCCTGCAGCGTCCCCGGCCATCTCCTCCAGCCGATGCCAGCATCCGGCTTCTGTGTTCCGGTCCCTGTGACGTCGGGACGTACGGGCGCCGGAACCGGCGGGAAATTTGAATTTTTTTAAAAATGTCATTTTTGCTGTCATTGCTATTTCAATGCATTTCACATACATTTTGTCCCGAGTGCTTTGTCCTGTGCCCTGCCTGCATTTTGAATGTTCTTTCTGCCTGGAAACTTAGAAAAGTCCATGGCGTCCAAAAAGCGTCCCTTTACGTCAAAAGCGGTTTTAGAACAGCGATAGTAAATCAGAACCACTTGCAGAATTGAGTGATAATGATTCGTGGGGAAATTTGTCATCAGACACTGAAAACGATTTTGCGACTTTGCTCAGCGATGTGCGACTTTGCCTCTGTATTTCAAATTTCAGTGTTTTTGGTTTGATTATATTATTGAATTAAATTTATTATTATATTATTATTTTTTATGATTATTTATTAAATTATAATTTATCATTTCGTGTTTCAAATTTTATCATATCCGGAATGTTTAATAGACTCTTGTTCGGACAGATTTCAGTGAGTTATTCCTAAAAATTACAGCCTACAATAAAAAACTACATATTTCCATGCAAAAAAATGGTACCGCTTTCAGCACAAAAAATCGGAAAGAATCATACCGCCAGGGAGGTTAACTAAGTTTGGCAATAAAACCTGTATGCCGATTGGATTGTATGCAGAGCTGCCCCAGATTTTGCACTCCCTAGTTTTAGTAAATAACCCCCATTACATAGATTTGGTAAATCTAAAGTTGATTGTACAAAGATGTTATGGTCAGATTGTAAAATAGTGACCCCTCTACCAGGGGTGGACTGAAAACTCATGGGGCCCCCCGGGCATTAGGGGATCATGGGGCCCCTGTGTCCTTGCCCAAACTCAAAAAAGCCTATGAAAAAGGTACCAGGGGCATCTCATGGCGCCCCCTACTGACCCCGGGCCCTCGGGCAGTGCCCAAGTTTCCAAATGGTCAGTCCGCCCCTGCCCTCTACCAATTGACTTCTGTACACGCAGCGTGTTGGAAAATTTGCACACAATCAGCACCGCTGGCTATAGCTGCTGACAGCGCTGATTGTATGCTGATGGCAGGGAAGTTTCTCACTGTCAGAAAACAATAACTCAGTGGGAGCGTTTTCCCCCATCCATACCAAGTGTGTAGATGGGGGAATCAAGTCATTTTTTTCATCATTCAGCCCACAGGCAAAAAAGCCAAAAAAAAAAAAAAAGAATCGTGCACTGGCTGTTTTGGTCTAGTGACTGGAGTTCTCTTTTAACATATAATAATATTATTATTATTATTAATAATAATAATAATAATAATAACAATCATCATTACACTAACATACATGTTGCTGTTTTTTTTCTTTGTATTCCTTTTTTTGGCATGGTATAAAACTTTGCCTTTTGGCATAATACAAACTCATAACTCGATATCAAATTCTTTTCTCTTTATATAGCAAATTCAGTTTATTTTTCTTTTCTTATCCCACCTTGCCTAAATATTTATGGGTATTTTGATAGCTTTTCTGCATACAAGTGCGTACCCTTGTAGAAGCGCGTTTAATCCAGTGCAATTTTTCATTTGTGGCTCAAAGCCCTGTAGGTTTGCCTAGAATGTTACCATTATATGCAGAAAATACATTGCAGACTGCAATAATCTCTCCAAAACCCTGTACAATCTCACTCAGAGCAATGTGTTTTTCATAAAGACACACTGTATTCAGTGTTCCTGTTTAATAGATTGATATTTCTCTATTTCTTTCCATTTTTTTGCACAAGTTTGAACCAGTTTTACTGCTTTGTCAAATCTACAATGTGCCATGCTTTTCAGGAAAGATGAGAATGAGAGCTTTGGAGATGCTGTAATTAAAGTGCGAGTGTAAAGCCTGACAATGAACTTCTCTGATTTGCTCGCCTTTGGTCTGTTACTTTGAAAGCATTTTTGTATATCTTTTTGATACATTTAAAATGATTTCATGACCCGGCCAGAAATCATGGAATCTGATAACTTCCTTTATTTAATGCCCATGCTTTACTTTTATCAGTTAGCATTGCTCCCAGATCTCTCTGTCGACTACAGAACAATTCCACCCTGTTCTGGAAAGGAGGAGAGAGGGAGGTTTTTCCATAGTTCATAAACACTTCCTGTTCTAGATTGACCATATTGCTTCTTAGGGCTCGTTCACACTTGGCTGTTTTACCAACACTTGCCAAACGCCCCTATAGCGTTTGGCAAGCGTTGGTCCGGCGTTTGCGGAGCGTTTTTTAATGCCCGGCAAACGCTCCGCAAACGCCGCATGTGCGGTTTAGTGGCGGTTGCTAGGCGTTTGCCGAGCGTTAATAACGCCCCACAAATGCCTATAATGCAGTTTGAGTGGTGTTACCGCTCTGCAAATGCCCCGCAACCGCGTCACAACCGACCGTCGCCGGCCAGGCGTTTGCGGAGCGGCACCATAGACGAGAATAGGAGGCTTCAACGCCTCCTGACTCGACCAGAGGCATCCATTTTGCCGTGACGCAACGCAACGTGACGCAAACGCTCCCGTTAGAACAGCACCATGTGCTGTAATGGGCAGAATTGGCAGAGGCGTTTGGGAAGCGGTAAAAACGCTTCCCAAACACCTCTCTGTCGCCTGCACACAACGCTAGTGTGAACGTAGCCTTAGATATGTGACTGTGTGTGCATGG